AACCTAAGCTTCGCAAACCTGACTTAAATTCGATTAAATATTAATATAAATTATGAAACATTGTGGAGCCACCAATTTGGGGCTCCACTTGTACAAAGGGCTCCACTTTGTTTGTGTATGTCTGGTCTACAGGCTCCACTTCTACGTCTACACCAACACACACACACACACACACACAAAGTATGACATTGTACTCAACATGTGTACATGTGGCTATACAATGTACACATAATACATTTTATAATAAATTGAGTAATTCATTGTGCAACACAGGAGACGCAATGCCCACACTATGCAAATAGAGACATAACAACCAGCAGTCCTGGTTCTATAATGTGAGTTAACAATACAAATAAAGTACAGACAGCATTCATCAATCGATGCAGTTCTTTGCCTCAATTAAATGACGTAGGGTAATGTCCTCTTTCCACATAATGAGGTTCTTTGTACGGTTGATCACCAGCATAAACATTGTCAACAAAAGTAGTGGTAGTGGTAGTGAAGGAAATATCGAATCAAATAATGTCTGAAATTATTCAGGTGAATATTCCAAAATCTCTTAAAACAATAATCTGTACAAACTTGAGCCACTATAAAAATCAAATTTATATATGTGTGAAAAAAGTGAAATTATGGTTGCACCAATTTAACCTAGAAATAAAATAAAATACTATCAACAAATGAAAGAAAAATTGGTTTCCGAAAGATTGTCTCTTTAAGAGGAGTGAATCGCCATGACACTCAATGTGGGTCCCATGTTACATACAAAATGCATTATTTGTTTAACACAATTAACATCCTTTTAAGATATGAATGTATTTTCTACGAATTCCATTGCTTCTTAATTAAACTAAATATACAATTTAGCTGTTTTCCCAGGAGACTGCTATAACATTATTATTATAACAAACAAAACCAAGTTTTATGAAATATTCTAAATATTTTTGAAAATGACTGTACAGGTAGTTAATGTTAATTTCAATCCATAAAACAATATCAGTTTGCTAAAAATGAAAGGATATAATCACAGTTTATAATGCCTTTACCATATTCAATTATTAAAAATCCATTTACATCGATTCTGAATCAATATTTGTCAATTTAGATCAATTGTGAATGTACATGAAATTACAAGGACATAACATATGTCAATAACAGTCCCAAAAAACGAATAAATATATTATATTTTCCTCAGACTGCAACCGTAAATAGTTATTTGGTATGTGTAAATGTTAGTAGTTGATGACATGATAGATCACAGAATAGTTTAGATAATTTCTATGGTTCCTGCATATATACTGCAGTATGTCAACAAGTCAACGATACCAATGAATAGATCCCATTATACTGTATACTATACACAATAAGTCAGAAAATATTGATTCACAGTCTGACCAATTGATCTCCATGTACAAATGCTATTCCATTGTGAACCCTGGTTACAAGGCTAACAATTGTAATAAATATAGTATATGGAGTAATGCTAAAACATTTACGCTAAAATGATATGTACCAGATCTATTTTATTTGCTGGTTTTGTAGGACAATTTTTATTTTCACTGGGAGATATTATAAATTAATAAATATAGTATCATGGGCACACAGTGGGAAATACACTAAACAATACAAATGTATTATTCTTAAAAACAAGTTTCCATGGCAGAACAAATGTCACTAAATGTAGTATTAGCAAAATGAACTGTTTTCTCCCTCTGTTTTAAAAGAGGTACCAAAACTAACAATACAGGAAAAACCAAAACAAGACGATCAAATTTCTAGACAAAAAGAAATGGTTAATTTGTATTTTCTGAATAGCTGGTGTAAGCATTTCACTTTTAATTGGATGTTCTTGTATATTACCTCCTCTGTAAAACAGTTTTAAATGTGTTTCACCACATCATTTACCATAAAATGTAGGCGTCGCTCTAATTCAGGTGACAGGAAAGATTGAAATTTTTGAAAAAATACACCTAAATTGGTAGATTGGTACATTATTGTACCTTCCCATTTCAATTTGTAAGCAATGGGCACTTATCCTCAGTTTGGTCATTGCAGAGAGATATAGCATTTTATTTTTATGGTATGTGCTTTTGACATTGAGCATAATTTCTTTACAACTTTTCTGGCATTGAGCTTCAAGTTTTCTATAATGCTTCACTGTGTTTTAATTCATTGTTTTTCCAGACATTGAGTTTTAATTCATACTATATTTGAATCACACTAGATACCCACATTGTGTTCCTAAGTTGTGCATTCTTAAACCAAGCATATATACTTTGTGCATTAATTTTAGAATTTAAGTACAACTCAAAATACAAATCAACAGTATATGATATTCAGTCTGAGTTAGAAATTCTGAAGGATTAGATTCCATTCTCTGGTATCCTTTCACTGTCCTTTCTACATGTAGTTTATATAGAAATGCAGATATTAAGTGAACAATCAATCAATCATTGATATCACAGGATCAATAGTTTTAACTTACCTCGCTGCTTATCTTTGCTTTCCTTGATATTATTTAACAATCCTTGACATTGTGTAAACACTGCTTGTTGCTGTTCTCGTGAAAGTGTTCTGATCTTGCAGGATGCACGACTAGACAGAGCACTGCGGTCCAATTTTCCCTCAGAAACAAGTTGTTTTTCCAAGGGGCTTAGTTTTGGCAATGACACAACGGTTCCCATTGTTTATTTCAATATTGAATCCTCATAACATGACATCAACACACATGTCACATGATCAGTGACATCATCACTCCTGTCACATGATCAGTTCAGAGGTAGATACTAAGTATATCAATGAAATTTTGGCGAATAATTGCCGCAAATATCTTTTTAAGATCTCGTTGATAGTCCAGACCACCTCTCTGTTAATAATAAAAAAAACACTTACTCATACATGTAATGTGATCACAAAATGGAAAAAAAGAAATTTCTTAATACACCATGTCACATGAATGTCTCAAAATCATGTTTGAACACTCAGGTTGGAGACAAAAATATTGTCCAAACAATAGAAATACAATAACATTTTGACTTTTATGATTTCCCAAAACATTTTTGAAAAGAGAAAAAAATATTGAACCTTTTTCCTGTTGCGAAAAAATTGGCTATATTTAACACTGTGGATCTGCCTGATTACCGGTAAACAAGAAGCCGCTCTTACATTTGCATCAACGTGTACAATCCTCTACTAGCATCTCAACTAACCCTACAGAGTCTGCAGAGCTGTCATACAGTGTGTACACTCCATGCTCCACTACAGAGCTGTCATACAGTGTGTACACTCCATGCTCCACTACAGAGCTGTCATACAGTGTGTACACTCTTTGCTCTGTGGGTGTCTGGTGTAGTGTTACTACATGTAGGTCAAAAATTTTAAAAGAATCTACCAGTACAAGTAATCAACATAACAATAAGGGTTATTATGGTTTGTGATAAAAGAAACAATAGCTAGCCAAATACATTGTATTCCTAAATGATATGACCCTGTCTGTATTCGTGTATTGGGCTTTCCGTAATTCTCTCCTGAAAAACATTACTTACACGGATTATGTTGTATGTGTGTTCGGGATGGAGCAAGGTTCTTATGCACAAGATATTTTTCTTTTACTGATTTCCATTTGCTAACTAATATTGGAACACAATTACTTTCCTGAACGACATTCCATAATCGACACAGTAATATTACAAAATGAACGCTCGATTAGTTCAGCGAGCAAAACAACTATATGTTGCACTAAACACTGACTATGTAGCTGACTGCGGCAATCATTCAATCACCGAGCTAGTCCGGTGGAAGCTTGGTCACTCTGTGTTCAACCAGTAATACAGCTCCCTGGTTCAACCACCGTCCCTGGTTCAACAGATAGATGGACAGCAAATATTTGAATGTAATTAAATCAAAACAAGGATTCCATACACTTCTGTGTGAGTGTATTTCCGGGCAATGTTTTTATACCACAGTCCAACTACTGATGTATTGTTTTACTTGAAATATATCATAAAACTGTAGATATATTAGAAAATCGATCACCTACCTCGCCTCACGACGTGTTTACACACTAGTAGTGGTAGGAATTACATATCAGACTAACACACAAGGCAACCCCGTGACGTCATGCAACCTCGTACAAGAATACTTTTCTATGATTAAACAAAATGTTTATCCCTCCGAAAACAGATAATGTATTTTAGTTTTGTGTATTTGGTATTAATTACTATTAATAATCAACTACTTTTGTGTGTCAAACCAAAATTATCAGTTGGTTCTACGTTTTATTGATAATCGGTTGTGTTGTCATTATGGCTAGCGGACCACAAACATACCGAGTTGCCATGCCACCACCGTTAGCTTCCGAGTTATCGTTCGCGGCTTTTTCGATCTATTAAATACAGTGAAAATGTTATCACAATTTTTTTTTTTGAAAAGTTCTTCCTATTTATAGATTTGGATATAAGCTGTAGCATGTTGAGTTTGATTATTTGTTTTGTTTTCGACCTATTAAATATGAGGGAAATTTATCGTAATATACTGTTTCAAAAGTGCTCCATATATGCGATAATCCTTTTAGTGTAACAATCACGGTTTTCGAGAAAATCCTGTGACAAAACGTCAAAATGTAAAGACATGATGAGAAATAGTATTCGTAATAGTATTAGTGCCCTTTAAAGAATATTTGACTCATACCCATTGATAATTTGAACTCCTGATTTCAGCGAAATCAACTTTGGAGATATTAGCGCCCTCATCGCCAACATAGTAAGTGCAAAGACATATAATGTCCATCGTACACTTTCAGATTTGTAGCGCATCTCGTAAAGATTAACAAAATTAAACCTACTATCTCATACACTCAAATTCTTGTCAGAGTTTAGTCGTTATAACTTTCCCACGATATCATTGAACATTTCACTCGGGACAAACACATTCCATGCGAAGGTCAGTTTTCATGGCAGTTTAGAAATGATACAATAACTGTATTTCATCTCAATTTCATAAAATAACAAATGCTAATCACTAACCTCGCAATAGTGATGGGAAATATCGGAGATATTTACTAAATATTTACAACACCGCCCTCAGAGTCGAGTATACCACAACATTTTGACCAGTTTCACGTACCACCCTCAGAGTTGAGCATACCACAACATATTTACCAGTTTCACGTACCACCCTCAGAGGCGAGTACACAACGCCCACCCCCCAACATTTTGTTCAAGGGGGCGACCGCTCCCTCTGCCCCCTGTGCCGCCGCCACTGATGAAGGACAGTAACAAAGATGGGGATGTGGACAACTAATAAAAAGGCTTGTGCTCTGTTTTGAACATTTGTCTAAATGTGCTTCCGTAATTTGCACAGTAAAACATGTATTACCATTTATTTTAAATGAACAAACTATAACATACACATGGAATAGTCACGATTGCAAGGTCATATGTTTGCATCCTGGACAACACTCTTAATGTAACTTGTTTTCACAATGCATTCAATACTGTTTGTGAAAACCAAGCTAATTCTTTGGCAATTAGCCCTTGCGTAACATTATATATAAAGCATATAAGACAGCATTGTACCTTTTACGAATGGAAACACTTATCAGAAATACTACAGTACGGTGTATAATGTATTTAATAATGATTTAATTAATTTAATTTAATAATTTAGAATAAACAAGTCTAATAAATTTACTAAATTTTTTTGTATTTGTCACTTGTTCCTGTGTTGTGTATCTTTAAGATTTTATCAAAGCATTCGACAATGTTCCACTATTTAGATTAGCCAAGACGCTTCATTGCACGTGCGCTATAATAAAAATATTATTTAAAAAAAATTATTTTATTCCACATTGTTAACTTTTTGGTGCCATTATATTACATTTCTGCAGTCCGTCACATCTCCTGTCGATTTACGACTTAACTGTCAAAAGCAACACTATCTACTCCACAGTTAATGGTTTCCATTTTACATGAGCCACCAAACAATCTGTTGTAGTCTGTAGACATTACATTAGCATACATCAAACATTATTGTGTTCTCTATAAAATAGTATGAGGAAAATGGTGGAACATGAAAGTGTACAAAATTATCCGCTATAAAATATATATACTTTTAGCCCCGTTATCGACTCGTCGAGCGGAGCCTATTATATGAGATTGTCCGTCGCCGACTATCGTCGTCCACGTCAACTTTTTACTTTAATTTTCGACTTCTTCTTGAAAACTACAAGTCTGATTGCTTTGATACTTGGGTATATGCACCTTTCTTATAGTTATTCATTTCGTGATGATATCCTTAATTCTCTAATTTTGGTGAATATGCTTGTCATGTTTGGTAAAAAGTGATATTTTCGACTACTTGTTGAAAACTGAATGTTTGATTACTCTGATATTATATATATAGGTACCTCAAGTGGACCGATCTCTGTTATCTTAATTTTTTTAATTGAAATGTGCATTGCTACTAGTAACAGTGGAGCTATCTCAGCGGACAGGCTACTTGTATTAGAATATTATGCCACGCCCATTGTTGAAACACCACGATCTCATTGGTATCAGACCGCATAACTGGTAAATTCCGTGGTCAGTTCTCGAACATATGCGAACGCGATAGTGAGTGGGACAGCAATATCTTATGTACGGTTCGTCTAAACCCATCATGATGCTTTCACGTAACATTGTCATCGTATTTTCCCGTGTCGTATACTGAACCTAAATGTTGATATTTTCTTTTGAAGCCAAAAATCAAATTTGCGTTCGCAAGTTATACTGATTGGAATCTGATTGACATCTGACAATAAAGTTATTCATTGTCTTCAGTAAAATAATCCCCCTACGCATTGTTTGTTACGTATTTATTGTTCCTTTCCCTCGGCCTCATTGTAAATAAGTACTTATAGCAACTTAAGGGGCTACCGAGATATTAAATAAAATTAACTGAAGTAAACAGATTAATCTTAATGGAAAATGCTTCACATTGAATATTAATTTTGGAATAAAGTCCATCTCTGACTTTCAGCTATTAGTAAGGCGAGCGGATAAAACACTGCTCGGCAGTGTTCGGCTATTGGAAAGGCGAGTGGATAAAGAACTGCTCGGAAGTGTTCGGCTATTGGAAAGGCGAGTGGATAAAGAACTGCTCGGAAGTGTTCGGCTATTGGAAAGGCGAGTGGATAAAGAGGGGAGGCAAGGGGGGTAGCTGGTACGGTTTTACGGGAAATAAAAAGGGCTTTTCACAATTTACGAAGAAAAAAAAGACGTTTTTACAGTTTACAGTGTTAACAAATGTAACATTGAATGGTCCGAAGAGCTCTCCGACTCAAATTCTCCACATTGCTGCGCCGTGTGAAGAGACGCATGCGCATATTACCCTCGTAATGCTCTTCATTCGGTTAGAGGGCCTTTTACGTCTTGACATTCAATTTTGTAGTGAATTGTGTCTTCTAGTCGTTTTACAGTTTCTAAAATGTAATTTCCCTGGATTATTCTTTACGATTTTTTTATTTGGATTTGAATTTTTGTACGTACGAGAAAAATGACACATTTTTACAGTGTACGAAAAAAATATTTGATTGATTACGTTGTACGTCTAGCCTGTGATTACAGAATTACGGAATTTATTTTTTGTATTTACGTTGTACGAACAAAAAATATTGCAATTACGTTGAACGAAAATAACCCTTGCCCCCCCCCCTCGATAAAGAACTGTCCGGCAGTGTTCGGCTATTGGAAAGGCGAGTGGCTAAAGAACAGCTCGGCAGTGTTCAGCTATTGAAAAGGCGAGTGGATATGAAAGAACTGTCCGGCAGTGTTCGGCTATTGGCAAGGCGAGTGGATAAAGAACTTCTCGGCAGAGTTCGGCTATTGGCAAGGCGAGTGGATAAAGAACTTCTCGGCAGTGTTCGGCTATTGGCAAAGCGAGTGGATAAAGAACTTCTCGGCAGTGTTCGGCTATTGGCAAGGCGAGTGGATAAAGAACTTCTCGGCAGTGTTCGGCTATTGGCAAGGCGAGTGGATAAAGAACTTCTCGGCAGTGTTCGGCTATTGGCAAGGCGAGTGGATAAAGAACTGTCCGACAGTGTTCGGCTATTGGCAAGGCGAGTGGATAAAGAACTTCTCGGCAGTGTTCGGCTATTGGCAAGGCGAGTGGATAAAGAACTGCCCGGCAGTGTTCGGCTATTGGCAAGGCGAGTGGATAAAGAACTTCTCGGCTATTGGCAAGGCGCGTGGATAAAAGCAGCTCGGCAGTGTTCGGCTATTGGCAAGGCGAGTGGATAAAGAACTGCTCGGCTATTGGCAAGGCGCGTGGATAAAAGCAGCTCGGCAGTGTTCGGCTATTGGCAAGGCGAGTGGATAAAAGCTGCTCGGTAGTGTTCGGCTATTGGCAAGGCGAGTGGATAAAAGCTGATCGGCAGTGTTCGGCTATTGGCAAGGCGAGTGGATACCATAGCTGCTGTATTACAGCAGGCATATTATTATTAACATGCCAAAGGTTTCATACACAATTTTGTCGACAAATCAATTTTAACGAACGTTGCGTCGTTCTTTATTTCCTAATCAATTACTCCCATGGCAACGTGCAAACCTGTGTGCAAACTTACGTACAGTGTCATTCGACAAACAGTGCATGTCGAAACACTACTTACGTCACAGTATTACGAAGTTCCTTCCGGGAGTGGCATATTTTATGTTTACAGTAACTTAATTCCGTTCTCTGGGAGTGTACTTTGTTGCATTGATTTTTCTTTCCGAAATTAACAAACTTTCTACTTGTTTAACATTCCGCACGAATACACTAAGTACTACTTTGTATTGTTTACCTGGAAGTACTGCGAAGATAACGTCGGATACCACGGCGAGACACTTGAAACTGTGGCTTTCACGTATACTATATGCATATTGTTTGTTTTCCCTAACTGTAAAAATTGAAAACTGGATAAAGTTCGAAAAACAAATACAATTACCGCATAACATTATCATTGTTTTTCAATCGATGCGCACTTGCTAAAGCTTCCCGGCGAGTTTGAGTGGTGTTTGCTCATTCACATCACCGACTA